AATCATTAAAAAATGCTTAAAGATCTTTGGTTTGGGCAACTGCCAAAATCCGGTCTTCAATCTTTGACAGGAATCTCTGTCAGGGATTAGATCTTACCTGCCAATATGCTATCTGAAATTGTCCAGATGACAGGGTCACCTTATTTTTTTTTTCAACTTAATTGATTTTATTACTTTGTTCTGCAAAGCTCCTTAAAAAAACTGACATAAAACCTTTTAATTCCCAAAATATATGAACATGCACCAGTAACCTTCATATAGATTCAAAAGGCTCTTACTAGTCAATGCATACTCATATTAAAATGTGGGGTTAAGGGTTAGTGAGATAAAGGTGTGCTTCAAAGTGCTGTTGTTTTAGAGGCTAACTAGTAATGACTTTCGAGGCTGAAAAAATTCTAGGGCTGTCACTGTAGCAAAGTGTTGACATTTAGCAGCCTCGTATCTGTTTTAAATGTCAGTGAGTCTTTACCTGTCAGCCTTACTGATGAGGATTTCGCTACAATTCTTTAAGAAAATTGCTATTAAACTATTGCAGTTGACACAATTGTATGTCTTTGAGGTTTTTCATCTACTTTTGGATTTATCATTACAATGCAAAGTAGTTATGATGTTCAATCTTTAATTAGTTTTTCATTTAATAACAGTAATCTGATTAAGAAAATAACAAAACAATCCCTTTATGTCTCTGCCAAAACTTTAAAGAAGAATATTTATTGTACTAGTAAGCATGTCAATCAAAAGAATGGAAAAACACTGTGTTATGTTGAAGTCTTATATTAAAAGACAATAAAATTAAACTTCACATAATATTTATGTTCAGCTCATTTACAAAAATAAATCTCATGTATGGTTCTGGCAAATTATTATTAGTACATGCCTAGGGTTAATATTATATATTGGATGGCATGTACTTGAAGCAAAAAAATGTGAAAATCAAATCATTATTGATTTCAAATACTTGGCATAGAAATGTAGTATATTTTTAAGTACCCCTTCAATTTAGAATGTGTTGCCATGGTGCTGTTGATATTCAGAGTCTAATTCTCTGAGATAGGCTTCAATTCTACAGTATATATTTTATGAATATTTTATACATGTAGAAACAAATACTGTATACAGTATTGCCTTATTTTAAAAAGGTTTCTGTCCTCCAGAAAAATTAAAATCTTCCGAAACTTGATTGTGATGTTGTAAAAAATGTTATTTAGGAATTCAACCACATAAGAGACAAAGTTGTTGGTAATATGATGTGATTCTAGCATTAATAGTGATCACTTATTGCTTTTATGCACCTGAATCTTCTAAGAAGCTTGAATTAAGCTAAATAAATTGCTGCTCACAAGTAATATCAGTGTCTCTTACCCTGTTCCTCATAAATGCTCTCATTCTGCTATCCTAACAAAATATTCATAGTATATTAATGCATAGGAAACCAAATACATGTATCTGCACAATCATGTTTATACATGTGATATGTTTTTATACTCTGCCAACAAGATATAAAAACCAGCAGAGTGATAAAAGCATGCCAGGAATACCTCCATGAGAACTGTAACCATGAGACAGAAATGACAAAATACATATAATGGTAGGCTTGGTAACATTATCATCTCAGAAGCTTCAAGATAAGATTTTAAATTTATTTAATGAATTTACAGTGATTTTAAGGTTCCATTCTAAATACATTTACAGCTGAAAATCAGGTAAGGCAACAGAAACTAACAAAGATAGTATACTTTAATTAATTTAATAATTTAATATAAGGGGTGTAGCAGCAAGGCTTATTAATAATACAGGAATTAAGGTAAGGGAGCAGCAAACTTAATTCTGGTATTACTAATAAGCCTTGCCGCTACAGGGGTATTGATACATGTTTAGGTCTGAAACAACAGAGACTGGTAGGTTTTGAATGTTAAATAGTCTCTCCATATTTTTTACAAAACTTTAAATTCTTAATCTTCAAGTGGAGCTGTCTGTTAACTGGCATTGTTTTCTGTGTGAGGTAGCAGCCTCATATACAGTGTTGCTCAGGGCAACACCATGCTGTGCCAGTATAAAGTATGAAAGGATCGGTGGCTTGGATTTCTACAAAAGGCATGGAGAAAATGCTGCATGCTTTCCAAAAGTGAAAGAATAGCATCAACATGATGTTAGTAAGATGTTAGCATCAGAAGCATTGTGGAAACATGGTTTTGGGCATTGTTCAACATAAGGGCCCTGATACAACTTATAACTTCTCTGTCATGACTTATGGGTCTTTCAACTTTGGAAAGCAAACTTTCCAGAAGGGTCAGTTTGGAAACAATTATCTTTATTGAAGCACTGGAGGTACAGTAGCACACCTGAGGGTGCACTGAAATTCTCTAAGCCTTTTGCTGTTCATTACCTTGCAAAGTACAAGAGAGGTCTCTCCTTATGCCTTTATAATCAACATCTTCCACCCAGGTTTCTCTGGACATCTGCACCTGCCTAGTGCATTCGGAATCCCTTCTTCTGGAAGTATTTTCCTCTAACTTCTCCTTCATACTGTCATTTGCTAAGCTGTCTCAGCACATTTACATTTTCACTTTTGTTTGTTTTTCACACAAATTATCATCGTTACAGAGGTCAGCACTTATTTGAAATGCAGAGTGTTAACTTTATTATCTACAGTACAAGTTAAGTTGATATGTTCCCTGTTGCTGCACTATAAAATGTAGAAGATATTGGCTTAGTCAGTATTTCAGCCTTTATTTCTCCACAGTAGCAGTTTAGAATTATTTGAGACGATTGCATGTCTATGTTTGTCTACTTTTCCAGTCTCTCTTTGAGGCTTAACCATCAAATGGAATGATCATTTACTGAAATCCAGCATTGTACTAAACGACAGCATACAATCAATAACACAAAAAGTCCATAACACATCATAAAAACAACATAACGTAAGTCACACAAGGCCTTTGACAAGAAAACAATGCCAAATGCAAAATACAAATTGTAACAGCACATTACAAAGTACTTGCTCTTTTCCCATTCATTCAGAGGTGTGCTCCTGGTTCAGAAATAGACTACTCTATTTGTCTTGAAAGGATTGACAAATTATCATTACTTTTATGATACTATCACATTTGCTTTAACAAAAATGTGGGTATTACCACTGCAGTGATAAATTATTTTCATTTTATTTTTCTCATAGATAACTAAAAATGTGAAATTGCCTAAATTAAATTGTATTTTCATGTAGATCCTGTGCATAAACATGCATAGGTACTGTACACAGATTACTAGCCTTATATATACTGTACATATATCCTGCTCCTCATTTTCTTTAATTTCAGTGTTAATGTATTCTTATTTTCTTGGTTTAAAGGTAAAAACAAATAGACCTTATTTTATATATTGTTTATCAGAGATTAACTTTTGACAATCTTTTAAAGAAGCTGATCAAAAGGACAGAAATCTTATCTACTTCCATACTAGTTTTTTACTCTCAGTTACCCTAATCCATTTAGAATACTGATATATAATAAAAGTATAATTTAACGTCAATATCCCGGTCTTTTTAGAGCTACACTCATTGTATGAAAACCCAGGTAACCAAATGACTTTTTTCTTAGGAAAATAAATGTTTTCTAATAAATACAAATGGCCAAATGCCTACAACAATGCAATTTACTAACAAGAAAAAGAAACATAAAATGAATCGTGATCTTTACAGAAACTGTGCAAGAGTATCGGTACATCCAATGACTTATAGATATGTTCCCTGAATGGTGACCTGCTAAATTAGCCCCATTTCCCCTGATTGCAGTGCTGCTGGAACCAGCTGTAACGCCCATTGAAACATTTATAGAAATGCATCCCTCAGCTGTAGATTTTTAAAATTGCACTTTTCATTTCCTTCTGGCAGTGTTTAAGAATAAAAAAAACCTCTATTCCCTTTGTAACAGAGATTAGGGCAATTGCTAGAAAAAAAGTTAAAAATAGCCAGGATGCATGTACATACATGTACTGTACATATTGTAAATAAACCACTGCTATTTCATACTTTTTTTTAGTTGTTTGTCATTATTGATCTTTTGAAATGTCTTATAAAACATGAAACATTTAGGAAATGAGATATTACTATGTTAAATAAGTAATAACTAATAGAAATACAAAAAAGTAAAAAGTAATTAAAAGCATTATACAGTATCAAAACCTGTAAATCCATAACCATATTTTAAGAAATAAAATCTCTTTTTCACAGTGCAATTTTAATCAGTTCAGGACTTTGCGTTCTCTAAATCTTTATGTGATCAAGCCTGCAGAATTAGTTTTCACATTTGAAGGTCAAGAGAGAAGAGGTTTTTAGTGCTAGCAGGTTATTACTGTCATTTTACGTGTATGCATTGATCCAAACCACATGACAGGCTCATATGTGACTATCTACCTTGTCCAATACGTCTAATTTGATATATCTTATCCCTCCTGAAATCTGTAGCTGACTTAATGTGGGAATCACAATGGCATCTTCAGGATACAGACATCACCTTGTATCCTCTATACAAACATGGTACAGTGTGAAGGTTAAAGCAGCAACAAGAGCAGCTCTGAGTGGCACATTCTACATATGGTGCCAAATACAGTACTTGTGTAAAACCCCTATAATTACCTTCATCCAGAATGTAACATAAATCCCAATAGTGGAGAGGCATCCCAAACAGTTTGATTAACTTTTTAACACAATTGCTTGTTCTTGCTTACACAAATATGGCCAACAGAAAGCAGCAAAATAATTGGTTTGTCTGCATAAAGAAAATAAAGAAAATGAACCCTTAGAAAATTCCTTTAATAAGTTTTCTTTTTCATGCAGTTGTTATTTGTTGGTTTGTATAGTAAGTGACTCATTGAGGCCACTACCAAAAAATTGCAACTGTAAAGTTATGCAATGCAAACTAAAAAAAACAAACTCCTGAATTCAAGTATCTACAGAACAGAATTTAACACACAGTCACTAATACATGCACTCCCATACTCACACTCACACACAATCGACTGCCAGCAATCCCAGCCTTCCAGTTGCCGAAGGGTTGAAACTGATCTGTCCTGGAAGAAATTCCAACCACGCTCTGAAGACAAGAATATGGAAACCACAGCATTATATACTGATAATACAGCATTTTCCTTAGATACTATACTGTTGATACAGAGACTACAGTGCAATAGAGTCTATTACATTTAATACTATTATTTTTTAATTAACTACTTTCAGCTCATTTTCAAAATATTATTTTTCAAACAATATCGGTATAGAAGTACTGTATACCGAAATTTGTACAGTATGTGTGTATAATGATAATGATACCTGGGGCTTCACATAATTTATCACATTTTAAAACATGAGATTCCAGTTGTAAACATAAGTGATAACTGGCAGTCAGATAATCACACATACAGTATGCGGTAAATACTGGAAATAAAATTAATAAAATAAAATTTAAATATAACAACTGCTGCAAGTGTCCTAAAATGTTTTCATCACAAAATAGTTTATCCAATTTATTTTAAAATGAGGAGTGAAGGTGCTCAAATTAAATTAAGACAACCAATCATCATTGTGTGCTATTCAGGTGAAAAGTATGAATAAAGAATGCCTGGTGAATTTGACATTTTGGTTGTTGGTATTTACATAAAGTATGATCTAGTTAAAAAAATACTTTGATAAATTAACAACACATAACACACATAAATCAATGAAAGCAGAACAAATTACTGCACATTTGAATTTCAATTCCATTGTTTCCCAAATGACATTGCAAAGTCTGTTTTTTATTACACTCAAACTTGATCAATAACCAGGAAATCCTTGTGGCAGGACTTGTGGAGATTCCCATAGAGATTAAATTCCCCTTTCCCAAGATGTGTTCCGGCAGCTCAAACACTCTGGCACTTTGATTATACTTTATTAACATATGTGCAGTAGCACTGCCAGATGTTAAAAAAAGGAAAACAAAATGTAATCAAGTGGCTAGTATCATTATATCAAAATATAGTTATCAATGTCAGAATTAATCCGTCATAGGACTCATGAATTATACAACATCTACTATTATTTTATCTAATGTAATATCCATTTCATCAACGCAAGAAAAAATGCAACTCAGTGAACACAGGCAAGGATACTTTTCATGATTTTAATGTATTGTTTTGTTTGTAACAACAATAATTGCGTTTGCATAAGCTCTAAAATCATTTTGAAATGAAGTCGTTTCTGTTCACTGAGTTTCAAATACAAATTTTTTATACTTTGAAATGGAAACACTTTCTGCCAAAGGACCTACTGTAGGTGCCTGTTTGTTCTGCAAAGCAGTGTAGTAATTACTTGAATATGTTTAATGACTTTCGAAAAGGACTTTGTAAGAAGATCCATTGGAAGTTTTGACTATGAGTATGAAAGCAATGTTACACAGTGCGCTTCTCAATCCACATAGATTTTTCCTGCTTGGGTTTATTTAATCCAAGTCCTGAATGCAACTTTTTTTCTTTAAATGAAATACAGGAGTCCAATTTCCCCTGAGGAGAAATGGTTCAGTAAATACACTACTGACCTTATAACACTATCAGAATTCATCATAGTGACTTATACAACTAGGGTGAGTAGTTTGACCTCAGAATGCCTTTTAGAGCTACAGTATGCAGCTGTAGCGTATTTCTCTTTATATCTACTTGAGTAAAAAAAGTGTGTAATCCCTTCCCCTTTTAAAAATGGCTTAAATGCAAAGACACATCTCATGGAAAAGAACAGATGTTTCTCCTTTATCCATTCAAGGCAGGCAAGGTGATTAATAATTGTAAGTATGCAGTGTATCACAACAGGGAACAGAGTGAATTCATTTCCTCCCATATTTCCCTCACAAGGTGGTTCTATGCAGCTCTTCAACAATTGGAGAGCAAACTACTTAAAGAATAAAACAAATTTCATAAATAAAGTATATCGTGTGGAAATATTTAAAAAAAGGTAAATGCTGCAAAATGTAGAAATGGCACATGTAGACATACTGTATGTTGTTTTTTTACTTCTAATTTTGAAAGTAAATAAATCAGTCCAAAATCTCAAACTGTTAATAAAATTACTTCAACTAAAACTAAAACATCTTAAACATAGCAGCGGACGGATGAAACCTTACTTCAGCAGTATAGTACGTACAATATTAACAAATTATATGTACCTGTAGAATAGTCAAGAAGACTTAGCTCTGTGAACACTGGACCAGCTGAGATATCTGGTATGGTGAGGTACAGTACAAAAAAAAAAATCTTCTTACAAAAGGAAATTAAGTGTTTCCAAGCCTAGATTCTAATTCCAGATGGAGTTCCCAAGTAGGACTGTGCCTGTACATTCCATTGTGATATTGCAACATTCTTCACATTGGAATCCCCAAAAGTGTCTAAAGCATAATTTCACAACTTTTCATATCAAATGGAGGACTGTTACTCTGAAACCCTTCAATGGCACAGGCAGCCAGCACACCAGAGGAGGTACAGTACTTGGGGAATCCCAGTCAAAGGCAGATAGCAACATAGTCTGAATGTGAAAAGACAATGTTTATGCTTATGAAAAATGAAGAGAGATTTGACACTGTGTTTGTCAGTTTTTTAGTATTTATATGGTACTGTACAGCCTGTAAGGGCTCCTTTGAAAATCTAAATAACACCATTAATAACAAAATCTGGAAGAGAGAATGCAAGGACACTAAACAGTATGGCAGCTGCACACTACAATTGTTGTTCTTTGAAACTGCTTTTGGATGAGGATTTGTAATACAAACAGAGCAGAGGTTCAAAACCATACCAAACTAAACACGTGTATTTCTAAAACAGATTGCAAAATAAAACAATATACAGTACAAGACAAGTACAAGTCAATGCATACATTATAAAAATGCAAAGGACAAGTAAATTAAAATTGTTGTGGTCAAAACAACATATACTTTATAGTAGTAATATGTTGTAACTTGTATCATACTGTAAAAATGTGAAATGGACAGAGTGCGTTGGTGATCAATCATTACATCAACATAAATGTGAAAAGAACATTCAGGCAGGTGACCAATAGACACTGGCTGTTGAAAAAGTAATTTCAGAATTAGTTACCATCATATTGTAAAACACAGGATTGTGCAGCTGTTGCCATATATCCTTAATCTATCCTTATTGAAACCACATCCAAAGTCAGTTATTTTTAAGAAAGCTGCACTGACTGTCTACAGTACATAATCTACTCAAAGACTCATCTTTTCACAATAGTTATTCAGTTATACAGTATAGTTAACTATTCACCATGTGTTCTTAAATTCAAAATCAGTCCTACTGGGCCAGTTTGCTGTAGCTATTACATTACAATAAAATTACAGCAAAGCTCTAAGAATACAAGAATCCAAGTATGGTGTGGATTGGTTACAAAAAAGCTTTTGATGGTGTTCCCTATACATGGTGTGACAAGGCAGCTGCATAAGGGAAGTATAGTAGGTTTGCCTGTACTTACTAGAATGTTTCCAAAACCATAGAACTGAACAAGGGAATTGCTCTAATGTGGAAATGAGAAAAATAAAATTGCACAGCAATCCCAACTAAAAACAGGTTTTCCTAATCTAGTAGAACAACCTAAAAGTCTAACTCTTAAAACGCAATTAAGTCTACTTACAGAATTGGTGATGAAGCACACAGTAAATAATTATTTTGTTTCAAAGGGCAAGGGCTTATAAAGTATACCCTAATACACAATTCTTTTTTAAATGGTGGTGGCTAAACACAGCACCTTGTTCAGACATCCAACATGGTCACAGGACAGACTTGTTCTCTTGTTCTGAAAGGTACCCAACCCAGGAACCATTCACATGAAAAATACAGAATATTTATAAAAACGTGGGCTTGCTGGCTGAAGTAAACAATCCTGCTTTTCTAACTATGGATATTGGAAGTCATAAACATCAACCAATTAAGCCAACTTTAGTTTGGTTTGTAGGGGCATCAATGAAATAATGGAAGACAGACATGCACATATCAAGGAGATGGTATCGGTACAAAATCGCCATCATGTCATTGGTAATGTATACAGTTCTATTTTACTAGCTGTCTGAGACTGGGATTCCCTTTGTATCCTCCAAGCAATGCTTTAAACTGCATTCAAAAAGAAAAAAATAGAACTTCACAGGAGCAAGTCATTGCATGGTATTTTTTAAAGAACTTGATACACTATTTCGTGCAAGAAGCGACTTTGGCATAGCTCCTGTCTCAAAGAAGAGACAGAAGGATTAATATTAGAAGTGCAAGATCAGGCATTGGAAACAAGATAATATCAAAAGAACATTTTAAGCAACAAGTACGTATCAAATGTAGAATGTGTAGCAAAGTAAATGAAAATATTAGTGAAATAAGTGGTGGTCTGACCAGTGCTGCCCCCAGTTATGTGTGAGTATATAAAAAGACATAATAAAGTAGTTATTTTCATTGGTTGATTTGTAAAGAGCCACAGTAGATGCTCAAATACCTGAGAGATGGTGTGAATATATCATAGATAAAGCCATAAACATCAATGACAGTAACATCATGTGGACATACCAACTCAGACTGAATGTACGATCTTCTTAAATCACCCATTGTACTCCACAATAAAAAAAGAAAATGATGCCTCCTGATGGATGTTCCGGTGCTATTTCATACGATCATATAATTTGAAATTGTGAGAATGGAGTACTAGGACAAAAGTAGTGCTTGTGTTGATACATGTGCTCTGAATCTTTAAAAGAGGTTATGAAGGAAAACAACCAATCACACAAATGTGAATTACACAGTGTGACTTCAGGGGGGAAGTGGCCTCCACTGTGTGCGTGTCATTGATGCCCCTTTCAGCCTGCTGAAACCTTTTCACTCTTACACACTGTTTTTCCTTGCAGTGTGTGTGTTGTAACATTAACTCTCCTCCATGTGTGGTGATGAATCCAACCCCCTGATGGGGCATCAGGACATGTTGCTGTCACGATATTAGTTCCCCCTCCTTAAGGGTGCTCCAGCCCTTTCACTCAAGACTATTCTGTGCACCTGTTTCCCATTCCCAGCCCACCTTAAA